GAAAAGTTTGTTTTATGTATGAATAACTTTCTAAACTGACCAGATCTGTGTCTACTAATGGTACATGACTCACATTTCTGATTATATCAACTTGAAAGATAGCGAACAGAAGGACATAGTTCCAATAAAACCTGAGGGGGAAAGGTTTCTAAGCTTTCATCTTAACTAATAGCATTATACTGTAATATGCATTTGTCATCACAGCAATGCAAACACACACACACACACACACACACACAAAATACCAGGCCAGAATGGCTAGGGAAATAAAGCAAGATCTTATCTAAAAATTAACCAGAGCAAAAAGAGCTAAAAGTGTGCTTCAAAAATGTGGATAAGCAAGTGCCTGCCTTGTATCTACAAAGAACATACTTCAAAGCTCACTTTTCAGAAATTGAGAGAGAGGGACAGAGAGAGACAGAGACAGACAGACAGACAGACAGAGGAGAGAGGGAGAGAAAGAACAAAAGAAAAAGAGGAGAGTGGAAGAGAGATATAAAGAAAAAATGGAGGGAAGGAAAGAAGGAAAGAAGGAAGGAGGAAAAGAAGGAAGGAAGGAAGGAAGACAGGAAGGAAGGAAGGAAGGAAGGAAGGAAGGAAAGAAGCGAGGGAGGGAGGGAAGGAGGGAAGGAAGGAGGAGAGTATAGGAATCAAATAATATATCAACGTGTATATGATTTATTTCAATAACCACAAATTTACTATGTGAGATGATGTTGTTCACACTATTTCTCCAAAACTCTAACATGTGTATGGAAATTGGTATAAATTACTTGAATATATCTCAAATATTTTAATACCCATGGGTTAATGTATATGGAAGTGTTATACTAATTACACATAGTATTGTGCTAAAGCAGCAACATTATGCATACATATTTTGTTATATTTGTACTTCATCTGAGAAACGCTGCCTGAAATGCAGTACTAAAACTACTTTCATGAAGTATAAAATACATGAAAATATATATTAATAGAAAAAGATGCAAAAATAAATTTTAATTTCCTGTGTGTTTTTTGTATGCAAAACATTCTAGTTAATTACAATAATGTACACTTTTCTTGATTCATACATAGCCAACAGGTATTTCTATCAAATGCATTTGAAATATAATTAAGGGAACAGGGAATAAAACTAAAATATTTTTCAGTTTTTAATGTTAACCACAGTCAATTGAATTCCCTGATTGCCAAATCAAAGTTAAACCACGTTTAAAATATTGTACTTTGTAATGCATTTGATGGTACTTATTTGTCAACAAAAATGTGATTAAAATGCAAATATTAAAGGCTGGTGGAGATAATTAAGCACAGAAAATTTAGAACTCAGCTTGTTACTATTGAATGAATAAAGGATGTGAAGAATTTTTAATAAACCCCATGGGAAAAGAGCTTGCTTGCTTTAAAATCAAAAGCAGAGGAAACGCTTTTAGAATGTATATTTTTATCTCACAGTAGAAGAAGGTACAGGTGTTAAATTGGTCACAGGAGGGTAGCACTAATATTCCCTAAATGGGAAACAAATACATAAAGGGCAAAGTAAATATACTTAATAAAAGATTTGTGAAGTTCATATAAACATTCTAAAATTTATTCTGATCACATTGTGAAGTTCACATTTAATCAAGCTTTATTCCATTTTTTTGAATTTCACTCATCTAACCACTTATTTCATTTGCTACAAAGAAAAAACAATATTTCCAAATACTTTCAGAAGAGTTATTTTTCCCAGGTCAACTTTCATATTCATCTATTTTCTTATTTATACTACAGAATATCACAATATTAGATCAATCTTATATGCTAGTCCAGGCTCAAAATGGGTGTTATCTGTATTAATCATTCTTTAAACTGAGATCCTCCAAAACACTATCTATCAAATGTGTTGTCTTAGACATTCAGGTGTCTGATATTTGAAGAATCTCAGCTGAAACTAGACATGGCAAAAAAGAATCTGTGTTACTTTTTGTAATTAGCCAGCAAGAAAAAAAAAAAAAAACCTCTGGAGTCATGGCTCAAGTCTCAAAGCTGTATATGCGAGCAAGAAAACCAAGTAAGAACTTATAAACACCTTCAGCAAAATAGTCAGATACAAAATTAACTCACAAAAATCAGTTTCCTTGGGCTGGGAAGGTGGCTCAATGGTAGAGTACTTGCCTTGCATGCCTGAAGCCCTGGGTTCGATTCCTCAGCACCACAGAAGCAAAAAAAAAGCCAGAAGTGGTGCTGTGGCTCAAGGTAGAGAGCTAGCCTTGAGCTAAAGAGCTGAGGGACAGCGTCCAGGCCCAGAGTTCAAGCCCCACGACCAGACCCCCCCCCAAAAAAAAATCAGTTGCCTTTCTGTACACCAACAACGTACAAGCAGAAAGGGAAATCAAGGAAAAAGCACATTCACAATAACCTTAAAAATTAAAGAGGAATTAACCTAACCAAGATGTCAAGGAACTATTTAATGAAAACTATAAAAACTTAAAGGAAGAAATCATACAGGACACCAGGAAATGGAAAGACCTTCCAAGTTCTTGGATAGGCCGACTTAATATAGCGAAACATCAAACCTGAAAGTCTGAAAATACTGTAGGACAGAGTAGGAGAGACGCTTGAACTTATAGACACAGGCAGGAACTTCCTGAACAGAGTCCCAGGGTCACAAATGAGAGACTCAACAAATGGAACTGCCCTAAAATAAAAAGTTTCTGCACAGCTATAGACATAGCAGCCATGCTGGAAAGACAGCCAACTAATAGGGGAAAAATATATATATCAGCAATATATCAGACAAGGGCCTAATCCATTATATACAGGGAACTCAAGAAACTAATCCCTTCCAAACCTAAAAAAACCAATTACTAAGTGTGCAAGAGAACTAAAGAAAGATGTCTCAGAAGAGATAAAAATTGCAAAGAAATACATGAGGAATCCAGGCGCTGGTGGCTCACTCCTGTAATTCTAACTACTCAAGAGGCTGAGATCTGAGGCTTGTGTTTCAAAGCCAGCCCAGGCAGGAAAGTCAGTGAGACTCATATCTCCAATAAACCACTAGAAAACCAGAAGTAGTGCTGTGGCTCATGTGGTAGAGCACTTGCCTTGAGCTGAACTGCTGAGAGACAGTGCCAAGGCCCAGAGTTCAAGCCTCATGACCGACAAAAAAAAAAAAAAGAAAAGAAAAGAAAACACATGAGGAAAGGTTCACCATCCCTGGCTGTAAAAGAAACGCAAATAAATACAACCTTGTGATACCAACTTACCCTAGTCAGAATGGCCTATATCCTAAAGTCAGCCAAGGACAAATTCAGAGGGGATAGGGAGAAAAAGGAACCTTATTGCACTGCTGGTAGGAATGTACACTAATATGACCACTTTGGAAAGCAGTCTGACGGTTCCTCAGAAAGCTAAATATAGACCTCCCCTATGACCCTGCCATAGCACTCCTAGGCATCTACCCTGAGCAACAGGAACCAGGATACAGGGACATATGCACTTCCGTGTTCATTGCAGCACTGTTCACAACAGACAAGATATGGAAACAACCCAGATGTCCTACTTCAGATGAATGGCTCCAAAAATTGTGGTAAATGTATACTATGGAATATTATGCAGCCATTAGAAAGGATAAAATAATGGAATTCACAGGAAAATGGTTGGAACTAGAAAAATTATTTTGAGTGCAGTAAGTCAGGAGCAAAGAGACAAATGACACATGGTCTCCCTGAGAAGTGGATGTTAAATCCAAAACATAAGGAGATATGACAAAGTAAACAAAACTTGAGAAACCACACATCTTGTCATATCATTACTAGATGAGCCCATTCTGTTGAACATATATATGGTATATAAGTGTACATCTAAGTGAAACTAGGAGGAAGACACAGAAACAGAGGAAAATGGGAAAACATAAACCGCAGGACCTATCAGCTGCACTGGACATTGATGAAAATGAAGTAAGCAACTCAAGGGCAGTGATAGGAGGGAGGGAATGAGAGGGAAAGAAGGAACAGCTGACGCTAAGCAAAAGGAAAGAAATGTACATATCACTCTATGTGGAAGAAATAGCTGTATTGTCAAAGCTCATAGAATTCACAAATTCTATAGACCGTGATAATGACAATTTGCCTCATGAAGATTAGACTGAGTTTGTGACTTTAAGTATCACTATCTCACAATACTATGAAATTTGTGAAATTTATCTAATTACTTAACCACATAAAAATAAAAAAAAATTAAAAACTGATCTGGAGTCATGGTTCACGTCTCAGAGCTGTAGATGTGAGCAAAAAAAAAAAAAAACAAGTGAGAATGAGGCTCTAATTTCAAGCCCAGGTGCACACACACACACACACACACACACACACACACACACACACACACATTCAGTGGTAGGATAATAGCACCCAGTTCTCAATTAAAGTGGACAAACAGGGAAGAAAGAACACATAGAAAGCATTACTGGTAAAAATAGCCAAATAAAAGTGCCAAACTCCAGTTTTCTAGTTAGCAGCCAGATTGATCTTTTCTAAAATATTTTAAAAATCCTCCAGTGGGTGTAACACTTGATGAAAACAAATGTGAGTTTCTTATTACAGCTTAGAAAGGTCTACAGGATTTTGCTTTTTGCCTGTCTCGGGTTCTATCTAATAAAATATATTTTCTGCTTAAATACCTACATTGCACATAAAATGTGAATCTAAGTTAGAACACAGCAAAAATAGTGAAATCTCTCTAATTTATCCTTCAAGGTAATAAACAAGGTCAGGAGCAAAAGCAAATTCAGAGGGACGAACTCAGGTAAACATTGTGATTGACTAAGTAGTTGTATTTTATCAAAATACAAAAAGAGCTCTCACTGTGATTTTCTAGCATTTGTTTCCTACTGCATTAGTCAGTGTTCTGGTTAAAGAAAAAGTGAAATGCCACGTAATGATGTCATTGTATTGTTCTGTGTTTTTTTTTTCTTCCTGCTAATCAGGAGAAGCAAAAAAAATATATTGAATTCACAGATGATGAGGACTTACCATTGTCTACCATTATTCTTCTGGACCTATGTGTTTCACACAGTGGACAATACTCTGTTACAAGAGAAGGCTTACAGTCATTTACCAAGCAAACAAATAGTGAGTCTGAGCAAGGGTGATGGGAAAATGCTCCATCGCACAAAGCGTGGCTGGATGTGGAATCAGTTCTTCCTGTTGGAGGAGTACACGGGTTCAGACACACAATACGTTGGCAAGGTAAGAGGGTTAATGTGAGAAATTGCAAAGCTGTAATCAATAACCATTTGCTTATTTTTTCCAGCAACTTTCCACATTATTAATGATTATCACATGATATTTAGTTGATTTTTATAATGCGAATATATTATTACAGATAACGTGGAATTTAACATATCTGGAGGTTTAATATAATTATGTATTTGTAACAATCTTCAAAATATAAGTCAGGGGGATATGATGATCCATACCGGTAATGTTCAAACTCTAGACTCTGAAACTGGAGAACTGAGCTACATAGGAAGGCATCAACAGCAAACAAAGACAAAATAGCATATAGAGTTTTGATTCCCTATTAATAAACTATAATGATTTTTGTTATAGAGGTATGTCTGTAAAGCAATATTTTTCTGGAAATTGAATTTAATGAGTAAATAACTCCACATCTTATAGGATTCATGTAAAGTGCAATATGCTATAAATTGCCTAAACATGTTTGCATTTACTGGTAGGCATTTTGTCATTATTAGAGATAGTATGCTTTGTAAAATAAAAATACTTCACACTTGCATTTCTTAGCCTTTATTAAGCTGAAGTTAGTCCAGGCGAAAGGTTTAAAGCCATAATGAGGGGGAAAAAAAGTCAGAAAAGTAAAGAATGCATTACCCTTAGGACAAGCATAATTCTATGCCACTTGTAGCAATTGTTTGTAACACTCAGGGGTATATAATAATAGAAAAAAAGCTTTTAAAACTTAATGTTCTTTTTCCCAATATTCTCGAAATCTGAGAATATAAGCCCACAAGGTGTTATATTCTGACATTCTCCACAGAAAACATATTGGCTTGATCCACAACACACAAGAACCACATATGATTATAATTGTCTGAGTACTGACAACACCAGGCAAATAAATGAGAACGAGCCAAAAAAAATCATAAAAGAACTTGATAGCACAATCTTCCAAACAGAAGGACGTTTATTCTGTGAAATTGCCAAAATCCAAGTCTACTTCTTCAATTTTGTGCTTGGTCTGATATACCTTTTCAAGCACCACCTTCCTTAATGGAGACCTATTCTTCCCACTCTCTTTGATATCTCTCTCTGCTGGTTCGTTAGGTCATGCTTATTGTGCCCCATGTGGGTCACTTGCTTCCCTGTTGGTTCTCCTCAGGTTAGTCTGATAGCAACCTTTTTTTTTCTCCCCTTTAACATCATTTTTCACACGATAGTTAATAAGTACCATCGAGACATTTCAAGTTCAGCAAGCTAGCATCTGTGTCTTCTGTGTCTAAGGACTTGAAATTGTCTTGTAATTCTTTTTCTGAGGCAGTTTATGAAGGACACATCCAGGTCACAAGGCTGTATAGAAATGGTTTTACGCCTGAACTTTCATAGACACAGAGAAATAGTCACAGATAAAAATAGATACTGGTAATCTTAAATCTGTTAAGACTTCACTGTTTTTAAATAAAAACAAAAATGCTTCTTCTATATATGGAGTAATCATTGATTTACTTTTAAATTGAACACAATTATGATGTATATGTATCTATGTATATACTATTTTAATCTTTCAGCAATAGTTTCATTTTTAGTAAAATATCCTTATACAAACAAAGTGTAAACATATTTATTTACTTACAGTTGATAAAATATTTTATTATTTACCTTGGAAAAATGACCACATTTTTACACCAAAAGAACTTAAGTTATTAGGTACATTTACCCATAATAGCAGGACATAATACCCAAATAGAAAACCCAACATGGGAAGAAAGATTTTGATATAGTGAGGATAATCAATCCACACTATATATCAACTATTTTCATAATTTTGCATGCTTACATAAAAGTCTACAAAATGAAAACACCTATGCTACTTTAAAGAAGTAAAGAACAACTCTTTTCTTTTTTTGTCAAAGGGCATTGCGTCATCTCTACCACATATTTACTCATTAACAAAGTGGATTTTTAACAAGTTCTTAGATTTATTATTTTTTAAATGTGTTTCTACAGTCTATTCTGCTCTGTTCTATTTTTCATCATTACCCTTGCATATACAGAGGGTAGCTAGAACTTTTACTGTAAATATGGTAGAACACATGAAGAAAGCTTTAAGACACACACACATACACACACACACACATGCACACACACACACACTAAAAGTTGTTGAACAGGGAATTAAGTGTTACAGGTTAATCTGATAAAGTTATAATAGATGCACAATAAATTACCATGGTAAAGTTCTTTATATTATTACTATACAGTAAAATAATGGAACAATAACAATCTCAGGAAAGAAAAGCTGGCTTTTTATGTGCAGGTACCAGCAGGTGATAGAAAGCCCAACTGAGGGGTTGAATGAGGGTAAATATGTCAAAAATACTTTATATGCATTTATAAAAATAGAACAATGAAATATGTTGAAAGTACTTTAAGAAAGAAAGAAGAAGTTTGTCCTTATTTTTTGGAGAATTTAATAATAGCAGAAAGTAAGATGTATATTAATATTCAGGGAAGAAAATATCGTAAAAAGGTAGAATGTATAATCCTGGCATAAAAACCAGGGTTTAAATGTAAATGTTAAAGAATACAACAAATAAACAGCAACAAAGTTTAATACAGTATAATATGTCACAACATAAACATGCAATTTTCAGGATTTAATCCTCATTGTGACATTTAGGAATTATATTGAATTTATTTAAATTTGCCTACTCTGGTTATTATTAAGTTAAATTATCATTAAATTTTCTTTGGATTTAAATATCTGATATTTTCTAGATTATAGGGGGTTTGTCAATATTCACAGGAGAAACTACTTAAAATGTAATTAAAATGTTCATGTGGACAAATGCAAGCACTTTTAATATAGTCAAATAAAAATATATAGGCTTAATAGAACAGGTTATTTTTCACTTTCAACTTGTGAAAACCCAGGATTCCAGCCTCTGTTCTTACTGTCTACAATTTAGGATGAAATAGTTGAAAAAAAAGAGCTACTAAATTATGAGTCAGAGACAATCTGGAATGATCAGTTTGCTTTCTTTTTCAGGCAGCGGCAGAACAAGTTCAATATTAAAATGACAATTTTACAAGGAAATACTTTTATGTTATCATGCTGTTTGATGGATTTCATGTCAGGGTTTTTTTTTTTGCAAAAAAAAATAATGTTTCTGTTTTTCAAAATCATTCTGAAGTTTAGCTATAATTTTAACCAAAATGTCATTTTTTTCTTTCCTGTAGTAATACATTTAGTCTCTATTCGAGAGAATCACCAATCAATACCACTAGTCCGCTAGTGTCTCCAGATTTTAAATAAAAACTTTTGATTGCATTGTTTAGGCAGAATAGTAATATTTCCCCAGAGAGGAATTATAATGCATTTTACTAGAAGCAAGAGAAATGTGAAGGAATTCTCATAATCACTATGTTTGTTCAGGGCTAGAACTGTTCTAAGGGCCTCACAAAGACTAAAGAAATGTTCTTTCACTGAGTTATGTCTAGTTTGTCCTCCTCTTTATACACAACATGTTAAAGGCTCTAAAGTTTTCATGGGTCAATAATCAATCATGTGCAATTATTGTAAATAGCAACAAAACATTACTATATAATTTTAGCATCTAATTGCTAAGCCACTTTGGTTGAATGAAAAATGCACAATTGATGATATAGCATATGATGATATGTTTATATTTTCTGAAGAAAACAGCAAATAAACAGTTCATTTAAATGTTTGAATATTAATCATATTTACATATTAACATAACACACACAAAGAATTTGTGTGTGTACATTTGTGCACATATGTATGCATGTTTTTCAGTCTATGAAGAAAAATGCAGTGAAGAACACAGTAATAGAGAAGCAAATAGAACAATGAAATATGTTGAAAGTACTTTAAGAAGGAAAGAAGAAGAAAGATGAAGTTTGTCTTTATATTTTGGACAAAATAAGGTCTTTGCTAGAAAGTTAGCTCTCACATGGACGTAGATTTATTTCAGAAACTTCTGCTACTTTGTAGTTGAAATCCTTGTGAGTATAGTTAATGCATCTCAAAAGACTTTTGAACATTGATCAAGATCTGTCTTCTCCTCCATGATGTATTTGGCTTAGTTGTTATAGAAAACAACAGGAATCATGTGTACCAAATATAAAAGGGATTGGAGTTTGGCTTACAGTTGACTTAGAACCAAAATGTGGATGGTTCCTTCACACCTGCATATGCTGATTCATTTGTTAAATGTTGATGGATCCCTGAAACTTATAGGAAGTAATACGTAGAACATGCAAATTTCTTTTTGACTCATAGGTATGGCATTTTGATATATACAAATAAGTGGCAGATGAGAAAGTCTCCAATTCACTGAAGGATATCAGATGAATTTCTATGGTATATTATAGTGTTTTTTAGAGTCTAAATAAAATATCTTTATGAGGGTTTTAGAATGACATTCCTTACAGTGCAGCACTCACAACAGACGCTTGATTTACGAATATAACACATTCCAAAATTCTCTTTATGGGCTGGCTGCATTAAGCTCAGAACACATGAGAAAAATGTTATACATTATAATCAGTCTCAGGACAGCTTACAAAATCTTGTTTCCTACTGAATTCTATTAAAATCCATTTTAAAAATAGGCTCTCTTCTAAATCTTACTGCCTACTACCAATGCTACACTATCACTTCAATGGACCATTGTGTTTGGGTACTAACTTAATTGTCTTTTCTTAATTTTGTTATTTTTAATTCTCAAGAACATCTTTCACACTTTTACAACTGACACATATATGCACTAATTTGTGGGATAAACTGTAATTCATGAATTCTATGATGAGAAAATCAGGGTAATAACCACGTTTAACACCTGAAGTACTCATTATTTCTTTGTGACACAACATTTAAAGCTCTTTTAACTATTTTGAATTATGTATGCTAACATTTTTGTTGAATTATATCAATTTCTTTCATAAGAAAAATAATCCAAGCATGCTTGAGTGGAATCAAATGG